TGATTTTCATTTTTTTTCAACTTTCGACTTTTCTGGTTCTTCTAACTCAACAAGTATTTCAATTGAATAATTCAACAATTGACCATGAACCATGTCGTATTAGTAAAAGTATGGTACTTCAAATTTTCAGTCTTATTCTTGAGCGTCATGTTTCTCACTCTACCACTATCAAGATTATTCAAACTGTACACTCATGCGTTCAGTTTATTGATATTTGCTTTTGCACACTATATGTCAACGACATATGTGAATCTTGAACAGAACAGCGAGGATAAAGAGCTGAAGCTTGACGACTTTGTGAAGTTGGAAAGGCATGGATTCCACTTTTTGGCACAGGTAGGCATTTATTCATTTCAAACCACTACAAACTTCTACTATTTTTATACCGCCGATCTGATATTACAGTTGATGCTAAGCGTGGTGCAGAGTTGTGTTCTTGGCTTAGAAAGTGATGTGGGCAGAGCCTTTCTCACTGTATTCACTCTTCCAATCGTTGCTCGAATGTGTGGATTTCCCTTTGGAAAAGCTAATTTTAGGTACGATCAAGCATTCAAGATGTATAATATATTCTTTTTTTCAAACGAATTCTAAGTTTTTTTTTCTGTTCTTTGGAAATGGAGGGCCCTAAGTGTCCAGCGAATTCTAACCCTCTGCTTTGCAGAAGAACTTTCGTATTTTTCTCTGCTTATTTTTCATAAAATTCGATTGTTTCTTTTTTTCTGTAATATATGCATGGCTATTATCAATTACTTTCAGCTCATAATGTCGCTTGTTCGCTGGTGATGTTGTTTATATGTATATATGTTTTGAATCGTGTGCCAGACATGGTTCACGGCATGCGAACAGCGTTTCGTCAAATCAAGGCTATATTTGTTGTACGAGGACTAGCCGGTGGTAAGTTGTTTGTAATATTTCATTTGATATCCTTATCAAATTGGGGTTTTGTGAAGCGATCTTTGGAGAATATGCCAAATTGGATGTGTTCCTTGGAGTAATTCCTCGAGGGATTCATTAAGAGATTCGCATAGAAGTGATTACTTCCCTGGGATTTTTGTTCCCTTTCCATCTCAATATTCCGAGATTCCAAAATTATTCGACCCTTAAACAGGATTCGTCACTGTCTGGCGCCGTCTTCGTATTGCTGAGCTGATGACGTGTGCATGGCTGACAATGTTTGTGATTCGTATGTACGTTGAGATTTGGGAGAAGGTATGTGATTGTCGTTTATCTCATTTGGCAGCATTTCCAGGTAGAACGTTTTCAGGGACGAACTTGGCAAGAGGCAGGTCCAGCATTACTTGCTAGTATTGCTGAGAGTACCAACACACCCATTTCTTTACTCGCTCTTGCATTAACGGTTTCGTTCGTATGTAAATGGGTTGTCGATGGTGCTCAACTGGTTCATAGGTGGACGGCGTGATCACGGTCATGTGCTTGCTCATTCTGGGTTGGTGCTGCCCGAATTGTTTGAAATTTAATGTATTGTGTAAAAAAAATCTTACTCGAATGACAAAGATGTTCGAATTAGACCTCTTAGGTATACCGAGGCATTGACACTTGTCCTGTTATGCCTGCAGACTGGCTTGCTTGGTATGAAAACGGAGCAAAAGGCTTTCCTGCTAGGCTGCTGGTCCTGTTTATTGGTTGGTCCATTTTATATACTGCCTATTTGCTCAGTTTTCATTCTGGCTTCAGTATTTCCCAGTGATACTGTTATTGCAAAATTCAGCTCTTATATTATAGTGATGTCGGCGCTACTGCAGTCGTTATACGAACTGCTTGAGCCTCAGCTATTATCTCTGGCCGCTTCTCCTTCGGCATCTCGCGGCCGACATATTCGATGCTTGCTACTTGCCAATCACCATGGCTTGTGCTATAACAGCCTTTCTACCGATTGATTTGTGGTACGTCTAAAATATTGGACAGAAGTGTGGGGATTGTAGAAATTTCCACTCTAGAAGGGATGCTGCCTTTATCTTTCGAACAGCAGAATTCCATCAAGAACGCTAGGATAACATTTTTTGGTAGAAATTCAGTGCGAAGGTTCATGGTCCAGCTACCCAGTACTGGAATCTTGTATTATGTGAAGACTCTGAATCTTGTACTGGCTTACATTTTCACCTGCTCTCCTGAAGCACACATCGCAATTGGTGTCCAAAATCTAGGGCAAACTGGCCAGATTTACCCACACTCAAGAAGCAAAAGTGTGAACTTTCTCCAAACTTAATTTTAGCTTTCCAAAAAGATTAGTTTGTGGCTAGTTCCATCATTCTGATTCTTTAAAATTTCATTTGCAGGTGTGTTATCATTGTATCTAATTGTGTGCTTACCACCATTCATGCAGCTTCCTCAACTGTGCAATATGCTATCGGGATGATTGAGGTCAATATTCCTCTCACGATAGTGTAAAAGTGCTCTAAAACCATCATCTTAAGCTTTTAAATCATTTAGTCCCGGTCAACTGAGCCGTGGGAACACAGCGACGATCTCATGTTCTGGACCAGGATGGTGACGAAAGTTTTCGAGCTCTCCATAGCACTCATTGTGCTGGTGTATGGCATCGTCTTCACTGTATCTGGTATGTTCGCTTTCATATCGGCTCAACTATGGGTATTATAGACTACCATTATTCAACAAAGTGATAAGTAAGTCGGTTTTGAAGAAATGACGATTCAGGGAATTGGACATTGGCCACCATCGCGGTACTTGTTTTTCACGTGATATTCAATATCTATAGAAGGTACTCAATTTATTTTTCTTCGAGAAAGTTCAAGTGCTGCTTTGAAACGCTTTTCTATAGGATGGAGACACTGCTAGGATCAATGACTGCTCGACAAGCTGCAGTGAAAAATATCAACCGTTTGCCTCGTGCTAGCAGAGAGGAACTAAAAGGTATGCTGATTCTTGCGCCACTTCAGGTTGTATTTTCACCGTTTATATTGTTCTCCGAAGGGAGAGGCGACCGAGTTGAAAGCGGGGAGCGTCTCGTTTCCTCGTTGACATCACTCAAAGTGGTGTTGAGAACTCGTGGAAAGGAAAGAACATATATAAAAACTTACTTCGCTATGCTTCCTGTGTCGCCGCTCTTTTTCTACCTTTTTTTATCAGCAGTTATTGATCTTCCTTGTTAGTTCAGTTAGAATACGGCGTTGTTCTCCAAATTGGAATTTGTAGCTACATTCTGGGAATTCAAGAAGTCAAGTAATCAAGCAAACTGATATCCTCCTACGAGCACTCGCGTGGTTCGCCATGTGCATCACGCTGTTCGCGATACATTGAGCGACTTCGCGTAAGCGGGCCTTTATTCAAAGTAGTAAGGAGATTCGAACGCTTACGCATCCAAACAGTGACTGCGCAAAGCTAAACTGTATCTGAGTCATTGTATCCATCTTTCATGGGAGCTAGAGCTGAAATGAAGAGCTGAATCTGTAGTGGTGGGCGATTTCTCGGTACTGCAATGGACATGAAAACGCAAATGGACATGAAAGGGCGATTTTTTGTATTAGGGCTCATAGATATCGCAACTTTTCATTTCCACTTTCTTTTCAAATTGTGCCATATTGTTCCAACTGACCCATTGTGAATACATATAGAGGCTTTGCATTTGCTACCACTCCGCTCTACATAACCTCTAGATCAAAATTTTGTCATATTTCATAGAATTCAGTCATTTCAACCGCTCATTTTACTCTGGTTTTCTGAATATCTTGCTCTGCAATTACAGTTGAAGCGTAAGTAATTTGGCATTGCACTTAAAACACTCGGTTATAAGTTACTTGACCTTCCATAGTTCTGCGGGTAATATCTCATGTTTCAAAAACATCTTTCCAACTCGTTTTCTTCTGTTCTACGCCATCCGTTTGCTCCGATTTCAAAATGCATGCAATCGGCAGCAAGGTTGCGGGGTCCTGTGGTGTAGCGGTTATCACGTCTGCTTTACACGCAGAAGGTCGCCGGTTCGATCCCGGCCAGGACCTTTCCTTTTGCCATGGTAACCTTTCGAGAAGAATGTAGTCGCAGCCATTTTCACTTAGTTAGAGCTCTTCGCGGCTGATTAGCTACGTTTGGAATGTCAACTGTTATTTGGATATGACTTTGCGTTTTAGGTGTGATCGTATTGGTTTATTCACTAAAATTTCTGAGTTCTTATACGCTCGCGACCTCACTATGTTTTCCTTAGTGAGCATTCCAAATAAGGTGTTTTGTTCATCTATAAAATCCTGTTCAAATGCCCCTTTATTACGGCCATGTGTCATCCAGGCTATTAGTGCATGCGCACTTGTGCTCAGAAACACTCAAGGTGTCACATTGGGTGGTCAATTTGAGCTTTAAATTTCAATAATTCTAATGAGCTTCACTTCACTAATTGCTCTTGTTATAGCTCGAAGCGATATTTGCGCAATTTGCATGATGGAAATGTGGGAAGAGGCACGAGTGACGCCGTGCAAGCACTTCTTCCATGGCGCCTGTCTCAGGAAATGGCTCTCTGTGAGGCAGGTAAGAACTTCCGAAGCTCGAATCTCGAAGCCCTTCGGCTAACATCGCCCTTCACTCTTGCGTAGCGCATTTGTTTAATATTTCGGTCTTGGGCACGGCATTTTGGGGCGGGGGCTTAATTGTGGATGTCGTACAACGTTTTTTTTTCCAAGTTACAGAGCGGCATAGGTTCTTTGTGGAACCTGCTCCAAGAGAACCCAAAAATCAGACTTACAGTCCCGTCTGCATGCGTCAATTCCGGGAATTCTGTGTCGCCATGTAATTGGTTTCAGGTGTGCCCACTATGTTACTCGGAACTGCTGGACCCTATCAGTGAGCCCGCTGTCGAAGAGTTCAGAAGAGAAGCATCGCCAGAGCGTGAAAGAATACGTGAAAGGAATCCGGAATGGAGGGAACTGCGTGCCATGGAAGGAGCTCGTGACATGTGGCCGTTGATGGAGCAGTAAGTATTCGTTCTTGGACTTTCTAGAGCAGAACAGTGATCGAAGACTCCGTGATGGGAGGGCCGTATTTGCGTGAGGCGGCGTACCAGGAGCTCGTTGAATGGGGTAGGGGGACTTCTTCGACAGGATGTTCATCTTGTTTAAGAGTGTTTTGATGGTCTTTAAAAATTTTCCATGATTCAGGGTTTTCGAGAATGAAAGCGACACAGAGAGCGATTCTTCTTCAGCGACAGAGTATACGCTAGCAAGTTCGGAAAATGAGTACTTGGAATAGTTAAATGTGTACAGGACGGCGCACATGTGATACTTAGCCTTTGGTTTACTTCGGGCCGAATATGGGTCTTCTCCTGTGACTTCATTAATTTTTGACCTGTTTGCATTTTTCTTGGTGTTCTGCCTTTTCCTGTTGATATATAATTCCGTTTCTTTCTTTTCTTTTTTCCATCATGAACTCATAACGATTAACTTGGCGTTTTGAACAAAGAAAATAGTCTATAGAATCTTTTTTAATAACTATTCTCGACTTCTAGGAATGGACCTTATCTTTTTTTCACAAAGTGATTTAAATTCTCATCTAGTTGTTAGACTATTTGCTTCTCCATTGTGATGGAGAACCTTCAACTGTACAGAATGTGAAATGGTTATTGTTTTTCGTTCACTGACGGTGCCTACTCTATTTCTGTTCAAGATGTTGTAGTCATTTGTGAAGCGTGTACTCGAACGTTGCTGAGAATGTGACATTTCTTTCATAGTCGTCGATTTCCGAAGTAGTTATGTACATAAAATTACTTTTGTTTTTGTTGTTTTTTGTAGAACGGGTCTCCTGCCAATATCTGTTTTTTTTTGCGCAGTAGTAACGTGCTTCTACTCGTGTTTGCTTAAAAGCTCCGTATTTTTCGAATACTTCCAGCGATGGCTTCGCTCGCCAAGCCGTCATCGCTTCGGTTGACTGGAGCGGTTGCGCAGCTTCTACCGTGCCGAAACTCGGCCAAGATGTGCCCCTTCGAAGCCAGCTTTAGCCAGCCGCAAAGAGAGCGATCTGAAAAAGAAAATGGCCGAGTTGAAGCACATACCTGACTTTGCGTTTGCGTGTGAGTGAACACTAGCTTGTTATACTTTGACAGATAGGGAGTGTAATTTGGTTTTAGGCTTATTTATCCTGATTTCCTTCAATCTCCCGTATGGAATCGTCGAGATCCTTTATACGAAGAACTCGTTCATCAGGATATGCTCGAACGCCGGATGAATATTGACATTCCAGAGTTCTACGTCGGTATGCACTATTGAGCTTGTTCCGGTGTTGTTCGGAGGCAATGTACTGTGCTTCTTTGGACCAAGGAGCTTTTCGAATTGAGTAATTCCTTGACCAGGATCGTTCCAAAAATGCGAAATATAGTTTGCATATAAAGCGTGTGTTTGTGAAACAAAAAGGCCGTGTTTCTGCGATTTCTCTTCTGGTTTCGGGGTTTTAATAGCTGATGAAGCGTAACGCACGTCCCCAGCTTTCTTGCACGTCATAGTCGTAGGCAGTAAGGCTTGTAGTGAGCTCAGTGACAGTCAATGAGAGGGGAAACTTTCCAGTGGATTGATGGTGATGCTATCATCTTCATTCTTCCTAATCTTGTTAGCCCACATGAGGCCGAGTCAGAGTTTGAAAATCTGGCGATCCGCTAGCGAATTGCTCGATACGAGTGATGTACCAACGACTCGACACTCTTTGAAATTGGTGGAACTTCCTTTGAACGTTGGTTTCCGCCACTTTAAAACTGTTAAGTCGCTGGTACATCGTTACGATGCGCTCGGGTACAGGTCGCTCTTACTTCGCACTTGGCACCAGCAAGCCGATCAACTGTACAACTAGCTTCTGATATCGCTAAGTGCAAGCGTCTCGGGCATCCCATCCAAGGAAAAGAAAAGTCCGAATAGAACGATGCAGGCTTGGACCGGTGGTCCCTGAATTCGCCTCGACGAAGAGTTGAAGCGTGTAGTTATTAACACGTTGACGACCGTGTGGTATGATGTCATACCACACTTTCGCATGGGGCAGACTAGTTTTCCTTAATTTATTTGGTGTTTTCTCCTGTTCCACAACGGTCCATGTACATTATTGAATCCGAAAAACTATTTCTTCATTACTGATAATGAAAACGCTGAAGGATTGATGCCTATTGATGAGAGAATACGAAAAATGTTGAAGTAGTACGCGCACAACGGCGGTCGTCAACGTGTTAACATGTGATACGGTCTAGGCCCGTTAATGGGTGAATGAAGATGTCACGCGAGAAAACGCTAGCTTCACCCCCCCCCCCCTCCACCCTTTCATAGCGTGGATAGTCAAGAGGAGTCGCTATCATTTTGAAATTGCCTTTTTTTTCTAATTCAATTGCCTGAAAGGAAGCTGTTCCATTTTCATTCTGAAACATTTGGATTCTCGTGCACAATTCCGGCGTACTTCGAAACGCGGAATCGTAAAATTGCGGATTTCTCAGTTTGTGATTGCCTTAAAAAGACGTAGTCAAATCATAATTAGAGACCAGAGTGGTACCTTTATAAATTTTATAAATCAGCCAAAGAACTAGGGTGGTGATTATTTTGAATGTTTAATGAACAACTCAGTGCGGCTCTGTCATAGGAATTAGTAGTATGTATGTTTGCTGTTCTTTTTTTTGTCTCAATGCTTGTTCAAGGTGAACGACTCTCTCGAAGGCGTAGGAGCTGTCAACTACCACCTTATTCATCTTTTCAATTCTTGCATTACTGGACAGAAATGAT